TAGACGTACCCATATATATTAAGAACATTTGCTGAAAATGTTTAGATTTTATTTCTGAAAATCAAACTGCATGTGTTGTACAGCAATCAGCTTGAAAAATATGAAAAGTGGAAGATGTGATGACCTTTTGGGAGTTCTGAGAAATCCTTCCCTGGACATTTTTTTTTTTTAAAAATCTGTGTTATCTGGTATAATCTAGTCAAAGACGTTAAGTATTTATCATCTCTGGCAGGGATAATTTACTGCTTTTCAAGAAAATTGTTCCAGTCTTCAGCACAGTGACAGAATCACTCCCATCTATTAAAATTAGACATAAATGAGAGGTTGGGCTTTTGGGGACTTTATACAGAACATTCATCAGACAGATATAATCTTGCCTCACTGCAACCATGATCCTGTCCAAACCCAACAACCTCAGCAGACTGACTACTAATCATGATTTTAGGAGTAATATGATCAATATGGGCCTTAATTTGTTTGGTTTACGTCGGTAAACTAGGATTCTATTAGTTAGGGGGTGGTATTCCTGCCCCAGCTTTGTTAATCACAGCTAATTGAACATGTTTTTTTATTTGACTTATTGAACATGTTTTTGTCTTCTCCTCTTACAGTCCACACATTTTTATTTCCCATAAGGAAATGGTTCTGTAATTTTCCCAAGTTCCTGTAGAAAAGCACTGTAAGACAATTCAGGGAAAAAGTTATATGTTCTGGGTGACTGTTCTATTTTAAGACAAACATTTCTGAGGCAATATACATTGTTGTTCCTTCTATTAATAAATACAGTGCCTTGTTTGAAGTATGTATGTCAGTTGTACCAATAAACATACATGGAAACAATTGTATTCTTTAAAAAAAACCAGCATTGTAAAATTAGAAGCAATAAAATGCCAGGACACTCCTCATTAAGACATGGAGGAGGGAAAGAAAGAAATATAAAATTATTGGTTAAATCAGCTTATTTGAGATGAGATTAAAAACTGAAAAAGCTTAGAAAGCAGTAACAGATGGTCCATTTTTACAGATATAGAGCCAGCTGAACTTTCCTCAGTAATGACAAAGACTGATTTATTCCATGGCATTGTGTTTGGCCTATCTTGCCCCTAATGATCTTTAAGCCATCTCTAAAACCTCCCTTCATACAAAAGCTCCTTAATGCTACAGTATTTTTATACATTTAATGCCTCTTCTGCCATTTGGAAATAAAAGTGATCATTAAGATACCATGGGGTGTGTTTTATTAGCCCATTGATTCAGCCCTGTGGAGGACATCATGAGACACAGGCTACTTCTCTATAACTCCCAAAGTGTGAATTAATGCAGCAGTAAAATATGCCAGGGAGTCTTTTAAAATCATTATAATATGGAACCAAAGTTTTAGTGCAACTTTTTTTTTTCTGTTCAGCATAAGCTTGTGCCACAGAAAATAGCTCAGATGGAGGGGGAAGGGGGGGGGGAAGAACTTGCATGAAAAATGCAGTAATGCTTTTTTCCCTCATTTATGATCTTCATTTTAACTTTCTTTTTTTTCTTTGCCACTTATCATCCTGCTCCCCACTTTGTTTCTTTCCTCATTTCCTTTCTATTTTCTCCACACCCTTTCCAGTTCCCACCCACTCCTCTATCTTTTCAGTTCTCTCCCCACCATTCAGAAAAACCAGTCACCCTCAGCACAGCCACTTGAGCAGGTCTGTATGACCAGCAACAGCAATGTCCCCTTTCAATATGAGTCTTGGGCACTCCCCTCATGATTGCTTCCCAAGTGGCCCAACTACAAAGGAGAATGCTACATTTCTCCTTCTTTTCGGCTTCTATCATCATCAGCCATGGCTGAGATAATTGGGCTGCTTTGAACTCAGGCAGCTGGGCTGCTTTGGAGCGGAATTCTTACATCTGAAGCTGAACTGGAAAATGTGTCTGATGTACAAGTGCAACTTAAAGGCAGACCAGCTGCCTGAGAGGTTGTGCAGAGCACTCTGCATCATTCTGAAAGAGAGACTGGAGAAGATTTTTCTCTTTTCCCTTTCACTCCTTTCCTTTCTTAGCTATGGTGGGAAGATGAAATCTCATCTAGCCACAAATGCGATGACTTTTTTTTCATGGAGGAGCTAAAGAACCAAAAGTCCAAGCAGACAATCAGAACATGGTTTGGTAAAATTAATAGTCAAAGCCATAGTATAAATTTGTTCTAAACTCCAGTGTTCCACGGGGACCCGATACTCCTTTCACTTATGGACACTTTGGGTTGAAATCAGTTTAGCTCTGTAGATTTCAAAGTGCTCAGTGATGGAAGCAGTTGTACAAATCCAATCTGATTCACTCAAATACAGTGTAAAGCAGTGTGAGTGAGAGAAAAATAAGGCCTTTAATTTTAAAAGAATTGATAAGAAGAGGGGCGGAGTGCCCTCTTGATCATAAGTAGGGTGGGAAAAGGGGGAGAGGTCCTGGCTTAAATTCCCTCTCAGCTATGCAGCTGTCTGACTGAGCCCCACTCAGAGGTTCAAAGCTCCAACGCAGGCAGGGAGCTCAGCTGATTGGCAGAGGACAGGTGTCTAGCTAGGCAGCAGTTAAACAGAGCTGCACTGCTTGAACTTAAGAGCTCCCAGAGCAAATAAGCAGGCAAGATAAGTAGGAAATAAGTGGCTGGGGGAGTGAGTAATTAATTAATTAATTATCTTGGTGGGGAATCAGGGGGAAGGAGAATTTGGAAAGTTCCCTCTGCCTGAGGAGAGGGAGAGAGACAGAGAGAGAGAGAGAGTGATGTAGGAAAAAGAAAAAGCCTGACATATGGGCCTGGTGCTTGAACCAAAGTAAGCAAAAGTCATACTATGAGTAATAGGCCGTGTCAAAAGCAGATGTTTGCCTGCTAGTCAGTGTCTCTTGGCACTAGAACTGCTAACACTAATAAAAGCACATGAAATATGTAAATAAATTCCATTCAGGACAGTACAGGGACACCCAAATAAGTACATAACAAAATAGTTGAAAACAACAAAAGTAAAAGCAATACAATGGGTAGTGAATGCTTTGGAAATACGAGGGGAGGTACCAAATGTGTCATTAATGCATAAGATGATTCGCACAGTATGTATAATAGATTATTTATTTCTGTCTATAAATGTTGGGGTACCTTACTTAACTCTTTGGCCAGCATAAGAGTGATAGTGAAATCCATACTATGGATTGAGCCATGTCCATTGGCCTGGGTACAAATATGCGGGGGCTCACGGGCCCTCTGGCTACCGACAACTATTAACGTACTTTGTTCAACAATAAACCTGACTCGGGAGCCTTCATATTTTATCTGAGTCTGTGGTCTTTGGGGGCTCTTGTGAAGTCTATTATGCCAGCTATCTGTGCAGAGTTGGCACAATATACTCAGGGAGATACAAACATGTATGCAGTGAAACATTTATCATCACTGGCAAAGCAGGAAATCTGTCAGGACGTCATACCTGTAAATCCTAAATTTACTGTATCACTGTCCTAAACTACTACAAGAGACAAAGGCAGAAACCCAGCAATCTCTTCAACCCTCCTGGGCTAGGAAGGGGGTCGTAAGAGGCTGGCTGCATTGGGTAGGTGTGGGAAAGAGGGAGTGGGTGGGTGCTGGCATCTGTGCTGTGAGATGGAAACAAGGGAAAGTTTGTTTGGGGTGTCCCAACTCACTTGCTGCAGATCTCGCTGTCTGGCTGGGTTGGAGGTGGGGGGACAGCCTGCATGGAGGGGAGGGGTGTGGCAGGAAGACATTTGCATGATTACATTTTAAAGAATGTTTACATACATGTTAAGATAAGAAAGAAAGATTATTTTAACACATTTTTGGGGTGTTGCAGGTATCTAAAGCTCTGAACTTAATTATTTTTTTAAAATTCTGTGTTACTAATTAATACATAGTAAATTGTATTTCTATTATTCCTCAAGTGAAAGAAGCTAATTCCCTACCTTTTGTACAGCACCTTTGTAGTCACTAAGGGTACCTCACAGCAACTAGGCACAGGTATCTTGTTTTAATATATTTTCTTCCACACATATGGACTGCTTAAAGTTATGTGTGTGTGTGTGTGTGTTTTGTTTGTATTGGTGGTGCACATCCACACACTAGCTCAATATTGGTGTTGCACGTAACAAATTTCAAACCACTAACAAGAAAATTCAACCTGCCCAAGGACAGAAAATGTTAGAAGGAACACTAATCCTGGCCACTCTATGGAGAGGGGAGGGATAGAGGAGAAATCCTGGCCAGTCAGAGTCTTTCCACTGAGAGAGGAGAGGAAGTGGAGAGAAGTCCTGACTGGTTGTGGTCTCTCCATGGATAGAAGAGATTCTGGGGAGAGGAGATCTCAGACTATCAGAGTCTCCCTAGTGAGTGGGGAAGGGTGGGATCTCAACTGGTCAGAGTCTTTCTGATAGGTCACATGGTAATCTGCAATGACATTTCCCATGCTCTCACAGCTTTCTTTCTATCTCTGTAGAGAGGGGATGTTTGATCTGATGGCAGGGAAAAAACAACTTCTGATGTCCTGAGAGGAAGGAAGAAAGGTTCAGCTGCACTGAGGTTCTCCTTCTACCCAGAATGCATATGGAGATGGAGCCTTGATGGGAAAGAGGGAAGAGGTGTAGAGCTTCTCTGTCTTTCCAGCTGCCATTGGTTAGACTTGAGGAATAGAGGGCAAGAGAGAGTTGGTTGCCTCTCATACCCTTATTATACCTGTATGTGAAGGCAAGGGGCCATGAGGCAGCAGCCATTCTCCAGTGGTTGCTGCTCACCTTCCTGATCCAGTAATGGAGATATTGTTTGAACTGTGTTTCCAAGAAGCTGCGAGTCTTAGCAGGAAGTAACGTTTTCTTCCTTACAAAACTGACAGAGTGTCAAAATATTTTATTTTGACTCCTCATTGTAATAAACTCACTTTAGTTTGCATGGGCAATCCTCTCATCTTATTTTCCATAAATCAAATGTTTCTGCAGACAAGATTAATATCGCAACATCGCTTTACCTGTGTTTGTTGAGGGCCTATGTCCATTGTTTTCAGAAGGCGGTTTAAAAACTCTGTGACTTTCTCCCATGGGTAAATACTATTAGAACCATCAAGAACTATGACAATATCCAGTTGGGTCTTACATTCTGAAACATAATTGCCAGGTGAGAATTATCAAGAACAAGTATCAAATACATAATTATTGCACTAATAATTGTCAACATCATATTTAAGTCTGACTTTCAAAAATACATGACTAAAACAAACTGGTTTTCAGAAATATTTGTTTTTGTAAGTTTAACCCCAGGATTTTGCATGTGTGAGTTGTCCCATTAATATTAGAACTACTTGCATAAGGATAATTAAGCATGTTTTTTGTTTATAGGATTCAGATCTTTTTTATGTTAAACCTTTAATTTTCTAATTTCCTACTTCTCTGCTTTAGTTCTTCCATTTAAATATAGGCTAAGATTTTGTAATGTGTATCTTATCAGACTGGGCTTCATAGGTGTAGCAGTAATTTGCCTTTGATAATAAGGGAAAGCATCAGGACTATTTTTAGCAATTATGTTTAGACATTTCATAGCATTCTAAAGATTGTTTATACCACACATTTATTCCAAAACCAGCAAGAAGTTAGCTTATAGACTGACAATGAAAACATTTACTTAACTTGGTAATGCTAGTAGCTTGGAAAAATACTTTGTGCTTTTTGGTATGTCTGTGTGTATACATTTGTCTTGTTCAGTGTTCTGTGCTTTCAAACACATGAGAACATTACTTTGGTATGCATACCTCGTACAGATGGTGCAATGGCATTTTCAACTTTAAATGTGGAACTGACATTAGAACAGATGCCAGTTGTGTAATGCAAATGCCCACATTTGTAAGCATACAATGGCCCACATGCCTGTAAGAAAGAGAAAGGGTTAAAAGTTAGATAATGGAGCTTTTGGGAAATGGACAATTCTCCATCAACATTAGGAATGTATTTATTTTCTTACCAGAAATCCTCCTTTTGGGTTAGTCACTAAAGTTGCTCCAAGAGTCATGTTCTCTTTTACTTCCATGATGTTAGGAACTGAAGTGTCAGCTAGAAATAGATCAAAATGTTAAGTATTTTAAAATGTGAAAAGTTATTAAATTATATATCCTCTAGTATAAAGTTTCCAAACTTTAAACTTAAAACACAGCTTGGTTTTGGTTCTATCAAGTATTTTTTAGCACTCTTCCTCCTCCCTCACCCACCCCCGCCAAAACAGTGATTAGGAGTATAAAGAACAAGTAAAAATGCAGAGTCTGGCTTTCATCCCAGAATTTTGTCTGGGTCACTGTCTCACATAGTTTTCTTGAACCATAAAAGAACATAGAAATAACAGTGTGATGAAAGCAGGAAATTACTGTTCACACAATATTGCCAATTAGAAGAAATAAATGTTAGACCTTGTATATAAGTCTGGGTGTTATATAATATATAGATTTTTTTTTACATTGAATATATCACTGATGTGCAAGAGGTTTTAAGGAAAATTTAAACTAAACAGGTATGTTCAAAATAATAAATCTGGTAAAACTCAGCCATTCAGTAACTGTCCACATCAAGGATCACCTGACACCAGCCACAGTTATTGTGGCAATCTCAGTTTACTTTAAATGGTATATTAATTGCATCGTCCTTTTTCTAAACAGACCACTTCTACACAATGATAGTTTCATCTAAAGCCCATTGAAGTAATTGGAAAGACTCTTATTGGTTTCAACAGGGTTTAGGTCTTATCCTAAAAGGGTAATCCATGACAGTTTAGCTCTTGGCCTCTCCATAGGGATTGCTGTAGTTAAACTGTGCCAGTTGTGCTGGTGTTTCCCTAACATAGCCATTGTTCTCCATCAAATGGATTGAAATCACTAACACACTTCATGTAGACATAGGACACTGAAAAGACTTCCGAATACTATTGTTATTAATATGCAAATGTGCAACCTTGATCTGAAAGCCTTCCTATTTCATTATCAGGAGTCATCTTATACCCCAGAATACAAGCATTTGGCTACATGAATTCAGCTGTCTTTTTCTGTAAACAATTTAAATAAAAAAGTTGGCCATAAACATGGTAAGATACTACCTCTATGGAACTCCACACATAAGGTATTCCTCTGCCACCCCTATTTTCCTTCATACCTGGCAGGTTCAGTTTTATGCAAGTTGACTGGCCCTTCCCTACAGGACATTTGTAGACATCACCTGTTCTCTTCTTGGGTTGACCAACTAATGGAGAACCAATAAGTACCCTGAAAACAAAATAATCACATGAATGTTCTCCTCAAAGCATACGTTCCTTCTTTGTTTCATTAGTGGACATGAAAGTCAACACTGAGTATAATGCAACTTTATATGATTTATTTGGGAGCCCCTCTGTAACAAACACTGCACAAATGTGAAGAGTGGAGAGACAGGTGGAAAAAAAGGTATCAAATTTTTCATTCAGAGACGAAGAAAAATAGGCATGTTATCTTTTGCTCCTTAAGGGACACAGAAAAGGAAAGAGGTATGTGAATGTATGTGTTTGTGAGTGTGCAAAGGAAAAGACAATGCCAAATGAAAATAAAACATATTTTGGGGAGAAAAGACTTTAAAAATTATTTGCATTTGTCTTTTTAAAAATGTTTTGTGTCTCCTCTCTTTTTTCTTTTTACATTTTAGTTTAAATAGCAATTTACAATGGTTTACTACAGAATAAGATATTTACTGACATCCAAGGGATGAACTTCATCTTAGGTTATTTAAAGATACAATGTAATGGATCTGGGCCTTCCCTTCCATTATTCATAAAAATAATGTCTATGTAGAAAATGACCTTTTGTGACCTTTCTCAACCTTATCTTATAAATATTGGGAATTAAATATTTATCTTTAGATCCATAATAGAAGACTTCAGTGTAAAGGAGAGCTTCTACTCTCCAGTGATGAAGCGACTGTGTAAACAGTTGTCAGGAAATCTTCAAAAGTAACACTGACTAGAGTTCCCCAAAAATATAAAAGGTGCATATTTCTGCACACTTAAATACTATGTTATAGTTTTCAAAAATCACTTTTCTGATCTTGAGACATCTAATTTTAACCTTGTATATGATGGAAACCTACCACTCCTAGTTTCAGCACCTATGTCTGTCTCTGAATTTGAACTTTGGGGATGTTTGAATCCAGGGGGGTTGTTTTGGGCTTATGCCTTCTTTCGGCCACTAGAAGAGCATCGTCTGTTGTTTGTATTTTCTGCTTTTAAAAGAGTATGCTACATGTCCAGTGAGTAGATCTGGCAAAATCTCTACTTGTTGGATTCAAGGGGTTTCTAAAGAGACAGTCTAGATCAAAGAAGGATAGCATAGTCCAGGCATTGACTTTAATTCCTGTTAACAGACACTGCATGTCAGAAAATCATGAAATATTATTTGAAAAGTGGCATCTACAATTTCATTGCTTTCAAAACTTTCTAGTGATTCTGTAATAGCCTGTATGAGACAGTAATATTTTGCATGGACTCATCAACAACCTGCAGCTATGTTGTTTCAATATTCCAATAATTGGCCAATTCAATCCCCAATTCAATTCTCTAGCCAGCCAGCTAGCAACAAATGTGGAAACAGGAATAATTCGCAAAAGAAGTGAGAGCAATTTTTGGGCAGCTGCAGATAGAACTATTACCTCCCTCTTAATTAGACAGGCAATGGGAAAGAGATACTCTTATTCTGTATTCCACTCTTAGCGGTGAGGCAGAGGGTGATTTGAGCTCTCTCATAGCATTGCCATCTCAGCAGAATATTTAGCGTAGCATCATTTTGAAGAAGCAAAGACAGCAACAAACCTTGCTGAATAAATCTTTTGTTTCAGAATACAGCAGCAATCAGCAGAGAAGGCAAAACACCAAAGAGCAATATAATCATCAAAGACGACATTTTTAACTCAAATGAAAGGGTTTGTATTATTTGGTATTTTGAACCAAAAAAGTCTTTCTCCTAATTGGCATAATCAATGAAGATAATCACTGACAGAAACCTTTAAAGAAACAAAGCAGCTTATCTAAGTAAAAAATAATCACTTTCAATCATGATGCATTTAATCTGGTGGATAGAAGAGAGAATGTGTTTTACAAGAATACTATCTTCTCGTAAAACCAATCTGGCGATGTGCTAAACTAGCTGAAGTGGATTTATTCCCTTATCTGAGGATATACATTCATAATTTAACTTCATATTTATTTACCTCAAAATTATGCTGATTTATTTAGGCAATAATAGAAGACAGAATCTGGACCTTAGTTACTGCAATGATGGAAAGGAATACAGTTCCATTGTGTGCTATTGCCATTATTGAATAGCATAATATCCGAAATGTAAACTATCTAGGAAAACACACTTACCATTTTCCTTCCTCATTTTCATACTGTTGAACCGTGTACCCAAACATGTCCTCCACAGGGCCATTGAATGTCATTGCATTTTTTACATCAACATTGAAGCATGCACTGAGGTGAAACAGAGCTGTGAAAACAAAATCAAATTCAATCTAATGTTCAACATTATGTAACTATATACACAAAGCAAGACCATGAGGAAAATGACCATAGTGATTTTGATTAAAAGTGATTTTACTAGTTTGTTGTTAGAGCCAGCCATTTTGTTCAAAATGGCATTTTTGGCAGCAGAAACAATATCTCTCAAATTAAGTAGCTACATTAAGTTTTAATATTGGTTAATGTTACTTACATATGTGGAAGAAAACATTATCCTTACTCTGAGTTTGTAAGCAACAAGTAGCCAGAGGCAGTTTTATTACGAGCTGCAGCAAGGGAAAAACTGGTTCGGACGGGGAGGGAGGAGCCCCTCCCACCCCAAGGCAGATCTTCGAATACAAGCAATTATGAAGCAGTTTATATACTGTCCATTAGATATAATAACAATAACAATTAGTCTCCTTCCCATTACAAACACCAATGGCTAACAGTTATTTTAGTTCCACCCAGATGCTTCTTATCTCAAGGTCCTTGCCAGAGTCAGCATTCTATCCTTATCTCCATATGGAGGCGAGAGGCAAAGGCAGCGTCTAATTACAGATCTCGCGTTGTCAGGCCACAGACTTAGCCTGACTCTTGCTAAGACCAAGACCAAGATGGCTGCACACAAATTCCCTTATTCCCTTTTCCTGCCTCCACACACAACTTTCCTTTGTGAAAATTAATCATTTGTTTCTAAACAAAAATATGTTGAGGATTCTGTTTTGCAACAGCCAAATTGCAGGGCTGATATAAAATAGATGGATAAAACAGAATTACAGTAAAATTCCAGTTGTTCGGCATCCAGTGGTCCGGCACTCCCGATAGTCTGGCACTAGCTGGAACCCAGAAGTGCTCTGGCCAGCCGGACACTTGGAGCTGCTTTGCCCCAGGCTTCCCCAAGTCCGAAGCTGGTCAGTTTCAGCAGCGGCAGACTTGGGGAAGCTGTGGGGCAGATCACCCCAGCTGCTCTGCCCAGGCTTCCCCAAGTCCGGGTTCGGCATCCAGTGGTCCGGCACTCCCGATAGTCTGGCACTAGCTGGAACCCAGAAGTGCTCTGGCCAGCCGGACACTTGGAGCTGCTTTGCCCCAGGCTTCCCCAAGTCCGAAGCTGGTCAGTTTCAGCAGCGGCAGACTTGGGGAAGCTGTGGGGCAGATCACCCCAGCTGCTCTGCCCAGGCTTCCCCAAGTCCGGCGCTGCTGAAACTGAACAGCAGCGGACTTGGGGGAGCCAGGGGCAGAGCAGCTGAGGGG